AAAATACCTATACTATAACAGCTGGCAGGGTTTCCAGACGTCCTCTATTGTTCTAAAATAAAGAGTTCTATTACTGTGGGGTATGTATATAAACAGTCCAGAGGATTGTTCGCCCAGTGAATATCTGCGAACATTCACTCTGTGTGAATATACGACAAAATGAACATTCTGTCATCATTCTCTTTACAAGGAGAAAGTGTTTGTGAATCATTTCATGTAATATCACATTTTTGGCCACCAGATGGCGCAGATGAGCCTTCTAAATAAAAACCCTTTGCTTCTTTATCTCCTTTATCTCCCTCTAGAGGCCATAATGTGATATTACATGAAAACATTCAAAAATAAATTCCCCATGGAAAGAAAATAGATGAAAATAGATGAAGAACATTCGTATTAGCATATTTTTACACAAAGTGAACGTGCACATAGATTCACAGGGTGAACGGCCCTACGAACTGTTTAACCCTTTGTATCAGGGTTGAAGATTTGCCCTCACTTCCTGTCACGGTGACAATGTTGCTGAGGGAAAGCTCTTCAAGGGACCCCGCAGACAGCAGTAAAAACCTGGCAGAGTCTTTAACCTCCTCCCCCCAAACCAAAAGAAGGATTTGGCTGAAGATTCACTTTGAACCATTTTGTCTTTTTGGGGGATTGGGAATATTTCTTTTTACCCGGAGAGGTAGAATGGAGCGCGCTCGCCCTAGATAAGGGGGAGGGGGGGGAGGGGGTTTCCGTTCCTTAATGGTCATGTATCTCCACATAAACTGTTACAATGTATTCATCGGGTGGATTCCGATTGGCTGCCTCATGATGACACCTGGAAACGTTTCCTCCGGCCCTGATGTCATTGTACTCCACGTCAGTCACAGCCGGCGCCATGGCGGTGACGCCGCGCTGGTGATCACCGATCAATCGGGGACGTGATGAAGGGGGTAGAAGGTTTATTAGACGAAGGTACAAAACAGGTCGTAGAGCCAACGCCGCTCCCCCCGGCACATCGCACGCGCCGCTCCCCCACCCACCGCTATTGATTTCCTGGGCCACTCGGCACCAGCAGGGGGAAGGGGGGGGGTGCAGCTTCCATGGCCTAGTTGTGGAGGGTTGCCATGGTTACCGTGCGGTCGTCGACTGACTCCTTGCATCCGAGCGGCGCAGAGCCGAGACTTCGCGCTGCCTACGTCTTCTCGCTTTTTGTTTTGTCCAAGAAAAAGAAAATTTGGGACTAATTAGATTTTGTTCAGACAATTTCACACGCAGAGGAGGTGCCGACGCACCGCCACTCGATAATGTCCCCGAATCACACTGATAGGACTGTGCGGGGAATGGTCATAATAGAGATCACAGCGTTCCCGGTGACGATGGCTCCATCTATTAAAGGGTCTGTAAACCCGAAAAACAGAAAGTCCGTCCAGTCCTCAGACGTCAGGCGGCTGCGTTAGTATTTTCCTTTATTTTCACCTGGTGACACACTTCCTGTCCTAGGGTGACAACACTCACCTTACTCTATCTACAGAGGATCGGTGTTGTCACCCTAGGACAGGACTACAGTACACCCCTCCCCCCTTCTCTCTACCTACCATAGGAGGGATATGTTCTATAGTCCTCAGAGAGAACTGGGAGCAATGTCACTGATATAGTGGCGTCACAGGAAGTTATCAGACATGGAGTCTGGCCGATCAGCAGGGCTGCCTAGGGTGCAGCCTTGACCATTCACCCCCCATGGTGCCCCCCGTCTATTTCAAATTGCAAAAGCCAATAGCAGACTGGCTATTGCACCCGCGCACTAAGCAGAGGAACATAACTGAGAGAGATCTTTCTCTCTCAGGTCCCCTACTCTCCTCAGTGGGAGGGGTTTCAATAGCCAGCCTGCTATTGGATATTTTAAATTAAACTAGCCAATAGCAGTCTGGCTTTTGCTCCCGGCTGCTTACAGCCACCTTTCGCCTGCGGAAGCTAGCCAGCATGAGAATGGAGCACTCCATCAGTACCCTGAGCAACTGCATCCAGCCATTGCTCAGTTGGCCTCACACCTGTTGCCTGCTCTGGTTTCAAGAGGTCCCGGTGTAATCCCGGTCCTGACTCACCGATTCACCAGCTGGTCCAACGCACTCAAGCGTCTCCTCAAGAACCGGCCAGCCACCAGTACCGGCACCTGTGCCCCACTCTGCCCTATATCCTCTGTCACCACTTCCAGAGGTGTGGGACGAAAGGTGCACAGGCAGCCCCCTTCTCAGCTGAGTCTCCAGCTAGGTACGTAATATGAGCTCATCAGTGTGCCCCTCCTTTTGTCGCTGTCCAGTCACAGGCTGGGGGCGGACAAGACCTGTAAGTGTAATGAATGAATTTAAAAGGTGAATTAAAAGCAGGGCCGGCACACTACCACCTAGGGAGCAGCCTTGGTCACGGACGGGCTGGGGGGTGCAAGTAGCTGGTCTTTCCGTGATTGCAAAATAGTCTGGCCCTGCCCGCCAGTGACACACTTCCTGTCCTAGGGTGACAACACTCACTGTACTGTATCTACAGAGGATCGGTGTTGTCACCCTAGGACAGGACTACAGTTCACTCCCTTTCTCTCTATAACATAGTAGGGATATGTTCTATAGACCTCAGAGAGAACTGGGAGCAATGTCACCGATATAGCGGCGGCACAGGAAGTTATCAGACATGGAGTCTGGCCGATCAGCGGGTTGTTTTGGGTTTTGCTATCAAACAGATATAACAAATCACTTGCAATGGGATATTTAACTGACCAAAAGGGAGCAAATGAGATCTAAAGTTGATTGTACGGAGATTGTAACGTGTGTGGGGGGCCCATGGACCGCTGAGGTGGGAGATTGTTATATAGACCATCGGACCTCCATATGGAATATATATCGATGATTTATTGGTACGGAGGAGGAGCGTTTCCTTCATCGCCGGTCCCGGCGCACAATCATCATATCGCTGGT